TGGTGCAGTTAATTCAACAACCACATGAGGGTCATTGAGCTTAGTTTCGAACACGTCAACAGCCAGTGTGTTCAACTTGCATGCGATTGCAGCCTGTTGACCTATTTGTTTTAGGGTGCAAACGTTGAACGCCATCAACGAAACAGAACAGCGTGGTTTTATAACGGAGTGTTAGCGTTTGGCGTCCAGTGGTTGATGTAAGATAACTGCAGATAATAGGACTCCAGTGGCATTGCGGCTGCTGTCAATTACTGGGGATTATAGAGGGAAGATGAGTAATGGAGAGTGGAAGGGGGTAAGAGAAACATGTGGGAAAGAAAGGAGGGAGGGAATAGTAGTAGCAGGTTCTCACTTATCCGCCCTGTTGCATGCAAAAGACGGCCAATGCCGGATATGGTTGAAGTCTGAAGAAGCAGTCATGGCTGCAGATAGATTCAGATATTAGCAGAACGCCCAAACCTAAACAGGAAAACGATTAGGGTCCTCGACGAAAGCCTTTAGCCTAAAGGCATGTCCGTAAGCAGCGGATATGGTAAGGATGTGCATTTACAGAAATGAACGCCATCCCAATTCCAACCCCCAAATTGCAGGACTAGAAGACTGAGTTTGTCCGAAATCTAAAAATTGACCAACATGGTAGGAGCAGCTTTCAAGGAGCCCAGCGGCCCAACCCAGTATGGCTCAAAGGATCGACGAGGTATGCAAAACGTTGTAACACGTTAGATAAATAAACTTTTTATTCTCGACAACGCGAGGCACGCTTTACAGGCATGATCATGTTATAATAACAATGTGTGAACAAAAATGTACAAAAGTACAACATGCTTGCCATAACGGTTAATGTGTGTATGGATGTGTACGTAATTGTGTAAATGTGTAGTTTTGTAGCTTGTGCTTGTAAGTGTGCCGTCGTATTTGTAAATGTTTGATATCATCGGCGATGTAGAAATAGACGACTGATGTCCGTGGATCGGATATAATTCTCCAGATATTCACGAGGCAGTGACCTTAGTTTGTGGCGAGTCACATTCGCTTGCCTCGTTGCGACGAAATTATGAATAGAAAAGCTTGATTTCAAGAGGTAGTATAAACGTTTATTAGGTGTTGTGTGAAAATAAAACAGAGATTCAGGTAGTGCTTGGAAAGAGATTTGAATAGTCTGGACAATGTCAACCTAGTAGCCGTAGCATTCTGAATAACGTGCAAGGCATCGAAGTTGCGTGGAGACAAACTATGTTTGGTTGTCATTGCGGCCTATGCGCCCGCAAATAGTAGCGGACTCGATGAAAGACGACTTCTATCACCAATTAAACGCACTCATCCGTGACAGAAAAAGTAGGGATACTGTGATATTTGCTGGTGATTTGAAAGGCCAACTCGGAAAACTGTCCATTGATGAACTTCATCTGAGCAGTTAACACGGTGTAAGCTCCGGTAATGATAACAGTGAGCGGTAACTGCAACTATGTGAAGATACTCGTCTCTTTGTCGCAAGCACTAACTGCGGACACAGTACCCGCCGGAGGGTGACATGGCGCCCACTAGCCTTGGACTAGATATGGACGTTAATCGATCAGTTACCGCTGGAAAAAATGCGTTCAAAACCGTCACTTAATTTGGAGAATGGGCGTGCACCCTGACCACGCAGCCGTTTGCACCGATCTCCGGGTGTGTTCCGGTTTACGTCCGCAACGGCGCTGTGAACGAGTGAATATTTGCCAGCTGGCAAAGCCAGATGTTCTGAATGAGCACCAGAGTACACTACTACATGCCCTGAGTAGACGCTTGTTGAACACAGTTGAAGATCAATGATTGTATATCCGCCAGACGTTATTAGCAGCAGACATGCTTTCAAGTGGCAAATCAAATTAGCAACCAAAATATCGGGTCTCTACACAGTCTTTGGAGTTTATGGATGCTCGCCTGCGTGTTCCGGCTGAAAGAGAATACAATGAGACCCGCAAAGCTCTCAGGGCGAAACTACGTGCTAGCCTGAAAAGAGACCACAAGGCTTGGGAGACGGAAACAGCCACTGCCCGTCTGATACTAGAAACAGGCAGCAGGACACCTGGTGTTAGCGAGACCATGTGAGATGAGAGTGAACAGCCGAGCTATACCTAGTCAAAGAGCATGCAGCGCTGGGCCGAACACTTTGAGAGGCAGTGCAATCGGTTAGAGTTGCCAGTTTATCCATCGGCCAATAAGCGCCCTACGCCCCTTGGATACGTCCAAAGGCGCAGAAATTGAACGTGTGATTAGACTAGTTGAAATTAAAAAGGTCGCCGGAGCAGATGGACTTCATCCAGCCCTCTTCAAATTCAGGGCGATTTACATAACGACTTACATAACTTACTAGTGAATATATGAGAGCAAGTGAGTGTCCCGACAGACTGGAGAAGCTCGGTAGTAGTTCCAATTTTCAAGGGAGGCTTCCGTTCCGAATGCGGCAATTATAGAGGAAGCAGGCTGACCTTCATTGGCTTTAAGTTACTTGAATCTGTCGTCCTCCATAGACTGACTGCCACTCGTGAAAGTCAGAAGCGCGAGGAGCAAGCCGGGTTTCGTCGAAATCGAGGCTACATTGACCACGTCTTCACATTATGCCAATAGCTGGTGCCGCCATGTTTATCGGCGGCCACCGTAGTCGTAGTTCTAGACATCTAAAGTGCATTCGATTTGATTGATTGATATGCCCGACTACTCAGGAAAGGCGTGTCCGAGAAACATGTAAATATTCTCGGAGCACTATACGCGCGTAGCTCGGACAGACTGAGGGCTTACGGCAAGTTATCGTCATCCTTCAATATCTCCAGCAGTGTGAGACAAAGTTGTCCACTCTCACCTTTCCCCTTTAACTTCGCCATTGACGAAGTCATGGAAACGGTGTTCGCCGGCCATGACTTAGATGTAGAGCTGCTTCCTCGTGAATGACTTCTCGACTTGGAGTATGCCGACGATATTGCGCTCATCTGTGACAGCTCCCGAACGTGCACCAGATAAACTGGCTCTGGAGGTCAGTCGTTTCGTGCTCTGCATTGCACCATGGAAATGCAAAGTTCTCCAAGACTGGCAAGGACACAATCCTGCACGGACCTTTGGCGCTGATCATCTAGAAGTCGTCGAGAAATTCAAGTAGTTGGGTCAATGGAATGGAAGATGAGATCACGAACCGTATAGCAAAAGCTCGATGCGCTTTTGCTAATCTATGCTATCTGTGGCACCGGCGTGACATTGCTTTCGCGCTGAAAAACAGTTTACAATGCAGCCGTCCGTACAACCCACCTGTGCGGTTGTAAAACCTGACCCAGACAGACATAAAGAGGCTAGTTACACTCGAACATCAGTACCTTCGCAGCTTAGCTCGTGACTGGTGGGAGCACCGTGTGGGCAATGAGTGTGTTCGGTGCCGCGTATTCGGTGCAGGAAGAGCGAGTGAGCCTCTCAGTACTGTTATATCACGCACCAGGCTCCCAGGGTTGGGTCACGTATTGCGCACGCCAGCCCACCGACTCCCGTGACGTGCGTTGTTAGCGCGTCAGGGATGTGGGTGGAAAAAGAAGGGGGGCCAATCGATGAGTTGGTCAAGAGAAATGAAGTCACTCACTACAAAGTTGGTATCGGTCGCTGTTTCCTGACTGCCTGATTGGGGACCGAAGGATGATGAGCACCTTTGGTTGGATACACTAGCCGATATGGTGAAGAGTCGAGTTCAATGGCGTTTGTGTTGAAAGTCTCTTTGCCTTTCCCCTTTACTTTAGTTTCACCCTTCAACAACGATCACAAATGTTATATTAGCATTATGTTACTTATTTTTATAGCTCTTAAGCATAGATTTCTGCATTGCGGCACATTAGCTGAGGTGTGTTCCTCACCCTCAGCTAGCGTGTATTGATGATGAAAGGGATCAGCATAGGCAAGTTCCGGTGTATCCGTTAACGCCGAGATCCATCAGTCTAATACGAGTACTTACAGAAGGCAAAGAAACAAGTAACTGAGACGTCTTGTAAAACAAAATCCGATACGTTATCTAGAAGTCAGCGACAAAGTCCTGAGAAACGAAATAATAGGCTATGTTGAAGATGGCATCTCCCATGGAAAGTGACATTTATGGGGGGTGCACTGGCGTGGAAGACAATCGGGCGACTTCAAAAGTAGCCGTGGTCAACAAAGTCAAAAAGCCACCACGCCCAAATTTCCACTAGGCTTAATGTATACAAAAGGTAGACATTAGGAAAGATTTAGGTAACAATATTTCATACCACAAGCTGTGTTTGCTGTTATGAAAGACATCAAACGCTGCATGAGGGTAAACTGATACTAAGTTGGCAAAGTGTGTGTGCCAAGGAACGGTGGTCAGCAAGCAGTCCTATGATCCGGCGAGTATGCACTGCTTCACAAGGCACATATACAATAAAACGGTTCACCCAGAAACTATAGTTCAACTGCAAACCGCTGAATTTGCTGTTGTTACATACAAAGGTCAAAAATGGGAATAACATTAGCCGTTAGAAACCTTCTTAAGTGATGTCGGCCGGTGACCGAAACAAAGCGTCCAAACAAAAAATAAACGTACTAGCCAGAATAAAAAACACAATCAATGAACAGGTTGGCTTACTTGGGAGAAAAGGAACCTGCCCGCTTTGCGGGAGATTATCTTTTTCGAAGTTACGAAGTGCATTTGTGCAGCCTCATTCCGTCTTCGGTTGCCATTTGTGGATTTACTAGAGAACTGTATTTTATCTGAGAGCCCATGCGAGGGGCTTTTCAGTGACCGCAAATAGACCCCAATCATCGCCGAAGAATCAAGTTTTGTTTCTGCTTCAGAGCTAGAGCAATCATCGTCGATGAAGCTTTCTTCGTAGGCATCCAGCGAATGGTCATTGAAGTCATCAGCTGAGTCATCCTTTGAGACTTCGGCCTGAGTCAATAAAAAATGGCGACCTCTCATATGGCGACTTGTCGAACGCGATCTAATAACTAAAGGTGATGAGTCAGATATGTCAGGATTTTGCCCAGTGTTCCCTTCGCTCCGCCTGACCTTCCGTGGAGGAGAAACGCTAACATGTTGTGTAGAGTTTGAGGTCACATGGTCACGACTTACGCATGAGGGGAATCCATTAGCCCGCGAAGTAGGCATATCTGTATGGTCTATTGAGTCATCCTGCATCCCGATGGGAGACCAGCTGATTTGAGAGGGGAAATAGGACAGTTCAGCTCCGTGTAAAGAATCCGAGGGGCTCGAGTGATCATGGGGGGTAAGTGATGGCATCTTGGTAGGGAAGCTTGGATCCACCTGCGTGGACTTCAGGAATGCTTCACCAAAATCATCGCTTAAAATTAAAGTAGTTTCAAATTGCAACGCTGATTTTGAGCAATAGGAAGGAACTGCGCATCGAGGGCCGCTAAATATCGCACTGCGCGCGACTGCATTGGAGCCAAGATCACCGGTGAACTTTACCTCGTCACAGTTCTCTTCGTCACCAGTCTCCATTAGTGCTGACACATCGAGTCGAACGGTAGAATTATCTAGCATCGCCAAAGCATCAGTTAGATTTACCTGTGTAGTGGACTGAGAGAAGTTAAATTCCGGTACATGTCTTAGTAGCGGCGTACTCCTTGCAGCAATACCAGCGCACAAGCGACCTGATGAAGTTACATGAAACGCGGCAGCCAAGCTGTTTTGCAAGTGTTTCGATACGGATGTTGGTGAATTGCCCGAGTTTCCTTCGTGCAAAGTCATATAATCTATTGTGTTCCACATAGTATCAGGAACTGTTTCAAGTATGCTAGAGTCACATTTAGCGGAATTCGAAGAAGCAACTGAATGCCTAGACACACTGGCAGTAGTAGAAGGAGGAACTGTCACATGGTCTTCCACTGAGTCAACGGTTGTTATGTTCGTCCAGATTTTTTGTAAACTGTCCGAATCAATTTTATCCCTAGGTTCATCAAGAACACGCAGAAGTTCTCGCATCATTTCTTTAACATCCTCGCTGATTCCATGAGGATTTGGTAAGAACAGTGGTGCTTGAGATACAAGGCCTTTGACGATTTTCGGTGCTGAAACAGAGACGGTGACAAGATTAACCGGCTTATCACGTATGACCTTGGGCTCTGCGGGGGGGCGACAAGTTGCTGGTGGAATGCTGGGTAAGTTCACTCACAGTCGAACTCTCAGGATCTTCGAGAATGGAATTCAATGGTGCATCCACATCAACGGATCGTAATCCCAGCGCATGGAATGATAACCGAGTGACGCCTCGCCGACGGAGTTCGATCAGACGAAGTACAGCCAAGAGATGTCGAGAAGAAGAAGATGGACCTCTTGGCTCTCCAGTAGTCAGACGTGATTGTAGGAATTCACGAGTGCAATCCAATCGGTTTCGAGAGGTCACATTATACAGACGTGTCAAACACAATTTTTCCGGAATATCAACAGAACTATGATCCTCACAACTGAGCAATGCAGAGGAATATATAGACCGTATTTTAAGGTTTGTGAGACTGTGGATGGATGGAAAATCAAGAAGAGTGAAGTTGGTATCTTTTCTAATGCTCTTTTTTGTTGTCTTTTGAGTTTTCTTTTCATTCGAACTAACAGTTGCAGATCCAACGACTGGCAATTCAAGGTGTTCCAACTTCACTAAAGGGGATATGTTCA